GGTGGTAATGACAGTGGATGCAGCGATGGTAGTGGTAGTTAGTGACGGTGGTGGAAGTGGTGGTGTCGTGGTAGTGGCAATGATGTGGTGATGGTGATGGTGGTGGTGGCGGCTGTGGTGGTGGAGGTGGCAGTGGCGGCGATGATAATGGCAGTGGTCGCGACAATGATAGTGGTGGTTTGTGACGGTGGCGTCATGGTGGTGGCAATGACATGGTGATGGCGATAGTGATAGTGGTGGTGGTTACGGTGATGGTAATGGGTGCGGTGGTGGAGGTGGCGGCGGCGGCGGAGGAGGTAATGGCAGTGGCTGAGGCGATGGTAGGGGTGACAATGATGATAGTGGTGGCGGTGACGATGGTGGCGCTGGCGTTGTGGTGGTGGTGGTTGTGGTGATGACAACATTGGTGATACAACGATGGCGGTGGATGGTGGAGGTGGTCATGTCTGGATGATGGTGCTAATGATAATGATGATAGTGGTGGAGAGTAATTGAGAGAAATAAGTGTTTCTCATTTTGTGCCTGGGAACAAAAAAACAGAAATTTTTTGATTCATTTTTCTGTTTCTCAGCACAAAAATTAAACCGGTCATCCCGGGAACAAAAAAATAAACCGGTTTTACCAAACGAGTTTTCTATCAATTTCCGTTCCCGGGAATAGAAATTAAAAAAAAAAATTAATTCCGAGAAGATTGTCATGCACACCTCTAGTCTCTAAAGTTGATTGAGAAATATTATAAATTTAAATTTTGGATATATAAATTTAAAGTTTGAAAAGTATAAACAAGTCTTAAACCTATTTATTTATTCAAGTTATACAAATCCATAGCACTTGATGCATATGTAAGGTGTGAAAAACTAACTTTATTATAATGTGTGTAATATATAATAATAGTAATAATAATAGTAATTTGACACAACTTTTCAACATTTTTTGATATCAAAATCTCTACGTACAGTGGTGTTAATTGTAACAAAAATTCTAAACTTTCACGAGTAACTTTTGAACTATTAAAATAAATTAATTGGATAAGACATTAAATGAGAAAAAATACCTAAAAGTTTCACATATAAGAGTAATGTAAATAACCAATTCAACCGAAAAACTTAAGCTTTTGAATGAGGCTACATTAATGGTTTTATATATCTCAACACGCCCCCTCTCACGAACACGAGAGCCCATTGGGCTTGAATGATGGACAATGCACAGGCCCAACTACCTATGCGAAGAAAGAAATTCCACTAGAAAGAAAGTGGGAGGCGGTGATGATCGAACCCAGTACACCGAGGCTCTGATACCATGTAAAGAACCAATTCAACCGAAAAGCTTAAGCTTTTAGATGAGGCTACATTAATGGTTTTATATATCTCAACAAGTAAAATTTCAACAAAACTACATGGTAACTAAAAAACTAAAATTATAAGTTTACCAAAAAAGTAAAATAAAATTAAGAGCATAATTATGTAGGGAATTTAAAAATATAATTTAATATTTATTTTTTATCGCTACTGTATTCATTCTCTAAATCCGTCCCTACTTCGAAGATCCGCAACATCTTCATCTTCAATACACCTTCAAAGATTGTGGGCATCCATGCACCATGTAATTTTAGTCATTGATTAATAAAAATTTGAGTAAATATTTTTTTTGGTTCTCAGCAAATTTCACATATCCATTTTAGTCCCTATCAAATAAAATGGCTCATTCTGGTCCCTAAGAAATTTAAAATAGATCCATTTTAGTCTTTTCAGGAACTAGTATGGGTCTTTTTTGAATTTGTGAGAGACCACAATTTTAACTAAATGAGTCCATTTTGAATTTTTTAGAGACCACGATGGATCTTTTTATTTGCTTGGGACTAAAACGGGCATCGTAAAATTTGCTGAAGACCAAAAATGATATTTATATTCTAAAGATTTTACGACAAAAGCTAATGACCACCTGCAACACGTTGAATAGGTTAATGTATGAAAAATAAATTTGTAAGTAATCTATTTGGTTAAAACCCCTTTTAAGTCCCTAATTCCTCCCCCCCCCCAAAAAAAAAAAAAAAAAACACGCATATATTTACGTTATTCTGTTCATTATAGTGTCATCCTTACACCTAATATGGTTGAATTTTCTAGTGACGAGTGTTAATTAGGACATAAACATAGATCCCACTTGGCTAATCAGAATAACATATAAATCCTATGTGCAGGGGCGGACCAGGGGGCATGGCCAGATACAACTTGTTGGCTTACAACTTAACGTGGTCATGGTGCAAGCGCAGTGGACTACACACAGTCCCTATAAAGAGACTCCAATTCTCAGGTTAATAGAGAGATTTTATATAGGTTTTATTTATCATAATTAAATGAATAATTAATCTCTATATATAACTTAAATATAAATACATTTGTAAACTGATCCGTCCATTACTACACATATATTTGAATTGTTGATTTGTAATTAAAATAGTCTCAAAAGTAAAAGAAACTAAGAAAGGTTCCTAAAGGCCACGCTGTGTAGTTGGTCAAGCAATATAAATTAATGAGCAATGAATATTGGTCCAAGATATGATTAGTTTGCATAAATGGGCATGGGTGAGAGTTTATGCAAGCACGCTACGTGTATGACTACGGATTATTTGCGTTGAAACATGATATGGATATCTGTTTCATAAATAGAATAAGGATAAGAATCATAATATGCAAAATATGTATGTTTTTTGATTTAATATATTATGTATACTTTATTTTTTTTCTTCCCTTTAAAATAAAATATTATTTAATTATTTTAATAATAGTTCTTTCATAAACAAAACTATAATAATATAAATTATGTAAATAATTTGTTATTAATATGCTAATTATTTATTTAAATTAATTATTACAAAATATATCATCAAAATTAATATTTTATTTGAGATATTTATTAAGTTTATAACAATTTTGAATTAATAAACAAAATTATGGTACGCAATATTAAAATTTATATTGTTTATTTTCTTTATGTAACTTTTTTTATAAATTGTTAAATACTCATTGTTTGAAATATCAAACGAAATACTACATTTTTGGAAGGAGAATATTCTAATCATTGAGAAAATAATTGAAACGTGATGCTTGAAATCGACATTCTCGACCCTCCGATCCAGATAACGAATATTCTTGAAGAATACATGCCTACCTTATTTCATCTTATTTATTGACATCGTAATTCATTATCAGTGGACGTAATCCTGGTTCTCGAGATGTGAAATTAATGTAAATATTTTTGGATTGACTATTTTGTAACTTGATTCTGCGTGGTGGAATCATATTGGAAGTTGAAGGCAACGTTGTAGGAATAGAAGGTGGGGGTGAATTTAAAGTATCTTTTTCTACACTTTGAAAGAAAAAAATATATGTCCGATGTTGGTTGTTTTTTGTTTGCTCTATGGTAAAAAGTAAATTGTGAATCAGAGAATGAGAACGGAAAAAGAGAGGAATTGAAGACGACAAGGAGTCGATAATGATGTTGGTTATTGAGAAGTCTTTCCATGCTCCTGGAGCACAGTTTTAGGTGCTTTTTCTCATAGAATTTTATTTATTTTTCATCGAAAATTTTTGACGGAATTTATTTTTCGTCTAAAATTATTACAAGATTTTTTAACGAAATTTCATTTATTTTTCGTCCAAAGTTTTTGACGGAATTTATTTTTCATCGAAAATTTTCGATAAATTTTTCTTTATTTTCCGTCGAAATTTTGAATTCTGTCGAAAAAATTGTTAGCCACAAAGACATATTTGACGGCTTCATTTTCGTCAAAAATTCCGTCAAAAACTTCATTTTTGACGAAATTTTAACCATTTTCAACGAAATTTTTCCGTCCAAAAAAATGCATTTTTTAATAGTGTAATAGAGATAAAATAGGGAAAATAATTTTTTGTTTGTGAGAGAGACCATTAAAAGATTCAATAGGCCTGGATCATTGAATTTTTTCAGCATATTCTCGGTGCTCCTGTTATATATACTCATTTACGTCAAGTAATAAAATGTGGAACTCATGTATCATTTTTATTTTTATTTTCGGTAAACAGAACTCGTGTATCATTAATAAAGGAGGAGGTGTGATAAATAGTAAATGATATACCGAGTACAGTATTTAAAAAAGTTTTCCCAATTCGAATGTTGAGTATTATTTATAGAAATACTTACATGAAAAACAAGTATTATTCATATTATAATTATTCTTGTAAATCAATTATTAGAAAATATAATTAAATGTAATATTATTTGAGATATTCTATTAGTTCTATAAGAATCTCGAAAAATCAAACAAAATTGTGGTCTGTAATATTAAAATTTATATGATTTATTTTCTTTCTGTAATTTTCAAAATTTTATTTAAATATTTTGAAATACTCACGTGTATACGAATAAATATTTATCTCCCCGTAATGATGAGACACAAGCTGTTGTTGACATTCATGGATTCCAGTCCTCTTTGAATGAATATGACAGAACAACAGGGGACAGGGAGGCGGCTAATCTCTATTCCTTCGTTAATCTCTAAGCGATGACTCAACTTATCTTGAATCTGTACCCAACAGCATGACTTAACCACACAAATGCGATGACACTTGGAACAAAGACAAATTTGGAAGGAATTATTTAATGTATTTAATAATTTAGAAGCTAATCCATCCAATTACATTGTTTTGACCACACTGGCACGGTTCGCTTATGTCACTAATTACATTATGCATATCCGCCGACGGTCAAGACAAAAACTACACTTTGAATTTCTTCTTGGATTTATTCCTCAGCTGCCACAATTCTTAGGTCGTTGGCCTTTATTGAAATTCAATCCAACACGCGCTCTAATTGTTGCCCACACTTCACTGCTCATTATCACAACACTCTATAAATACAACACACAATCTTAATCACAAAGATATATATTGCTACACATTCTAGTATCATTACAATAATACAAAAGCAATTAATACTTGTGTTCTAAATTGGCAAGGACAATGAAAACTAATTATTCCATCTCTTATTCTTCTTCATCCAAGTCTTCATACTTATCCCATGAACCAAAGGGGCTGAAACATGGGTACCCTTCTCGGTCTCAAACATTGCTTCATTCAGTAAAGAAGTCACAAGCAAAGCCTTGGAAGAATAAGGCACCCATTGCACCAATGCCACCAACACCTGTCAAAATATACAAGGTGGACCCTATGAACTTCCGTGACCTTGTTCAGCAGCTTACTGGTGCACCTGAGTTCAAACCTCAACTTCTTCAAAGCATTGCACGTGTTGCTACTTCCCTTGATGTTCCTTCGCCCCCAGAGCAAAATCTACCAATTAGCAGAGTCGACACTGCAGCAGCGTGCACTAACTGGTTCCATGAGTTCCAATCTGAAGCATTTGGAATGACAACTCAGGAGATTTCTGATGAGGCAATGACACCGGGTTTTCTGGAAATGAATTTGTCCTCACCATCTTATAGTAACTGGTGTTCCTTTCTACTTATGAGCCCGAGAACTGTGACCAGCTTGGAACCGGGCAAGGTTCTCTAGGCAGATACTTTTTCTTTAGCATAAAAAAGTTTTAAAATTTGTGTTACTACTTCATCAAGTGTGTAGTAATTAATGGTGTATTTCAGTCACATTATTCACCTTTAGTTTCAACTTTACTTTTTTGGGTTGTTAAATGCCAACAAAACTACAAATTATCTAAATGCCTTTGCAGAATGCAGTTATCGCTGCTTCAATGTAAACTTATACAACCACTTTAGTTATCCATGTTTTACTTTTGTTTTATGCAACTAATATTTTATTCTTTCATTTACCGTATGCAGAATGCTTTAATTTGTTTTTACACCTTCCCAGTTAAGATAAGGAGTATTTACCTTCCACTGATATCACTTGTTTAAACGAAGTGTTTATTTTAAGCTTAAAGTTATAGTTAATGGAAAGATCTAACTTTATATTCTTAAATATTTTTAGAATCACATTAAACATTAAGAGACTACATATATTATAAATGTCATAGGCCAAAATGTTAAGCCTACAAAGTTGCAGTGAGACGCTTATAATAAAACTAATAATTTATTATAAATACATGAGCATGTAGATTAGACTCTAAGCCTGTATTTAAATTTAGAGTAATACTTTTCTTATGTTATACAAGAGAAATATTATCTTCTACACTCACATTTTTTAAATGGATCCCGCATATTTTTTTTCTCTCACCTCCAACTTTTTTCTCTCTTATTTATTGTTTGAGTAGGAGATAATACTTCTCTTATGCAACATAAGGAAAGTATTACCCTTAGATTTACAAATGTTTGGCTTTTGTGTGTGTGTAGTATTCCCAAAAGCATCGTTGTGAGGAGGCGTTTAGTAGATGATAATTTTTTTTTACTGGGAACAGAGGATTACTGGAAATATGGCAAGAATATTAGTTTTCCTGGAATGTTACGAAAAAGGTGTTTGGTAGATAAAAATATTACTGGGAATTTTGATTAATTTTCCTGAGAAGCTATTTGATTGATGATAAAATATTGCTGGGAATACGGGAGAATTTTACAAAAATAACCTTGTGCAAAAAAGAGTATTTTTTGTCGGCGAAGTCTTCCAGCATTGTATGCATATTCATCTTCAATATTTTTCATATCATGATTTTTGTACTGGACCTCATCCTCCTGGTAAGTTTGTTGTGCGTTCCCATTTTCCCATTTTTTGTTGTCTCTTTCCTTTGCAACCTTCTTCCATCGATGGGGAGAAAGTTCATCATCATCTGGAAACGATTTTAGGAGTTGTCTACCACATATAGGAGTTCTTTTCAAGGGAGTTGATGGTGTTGCAGATATGGATACAACATAAAAGCTGTTTTACTTTCGGAATTTTTTTTTCTGTAACTCAAATTTTTTAAATTAAATATCGACAAATTATATAAGGTTTATTTAAAGCAATGTCTAGTTTAGTTTAACTAGTTACTCAGTTCACAAGCCCCTCTCTCGTCCAAATGTAAGGATCAGTTTTTTTACTTGCTCAGTCCAATACAACTTTGGGTAGCTAGACATGGTAGAAGATCCATGATATTTCTGACCAAGAAATAGAGACCATGTTGTGAAGACCACCTGTACAAAACGAAGGGTACAATTGTCCAAAAAAATGAGACAACAATTCCTTGCATCCGGTATTTCACAAATACCACCCCTTTGGGGGTAATTTGAGAAGGGAATTCATAACACATTTTGTTCATAAGACCAATTTCTGGGTAAATTGGATACCCAGACAAATAATGTAAAAACTCCTGCCAAACATGGATAAATACAAAATCCACTTTTACTTTCCTGGCAAAATTATAAACATATCTCTACTAAACAAGCCCTGAAATTAAAGTTTTCAGGTCAGGAATGAAAGTTAGGTAAATCTTTCTCAAAGTGTTAATGATTAGGTTATCTTTCTCAAAGTGGTAATTTTAGGATTTAAACTTATGACATTAAATGTAAGTCAGATTCACCTAGAGTTACAATTCACTTTCTCTTGAGTAAAAAAGAAAAGAATAAAATTAGTAAAAGAGAGACTGAATGATATGTTAGTTGCGGTGTCAATTTTGGCATTTCTCTTCTAATTAGCACATTGAGTTTGGGTAGTTGGTAATATGCTCAATTTGACCGGACTCAATCCTATCAAGTCTTCGACCCGACAAAAAATAAGCCCATCTTTTATGTCATAGAGATATCTTATCTTATGTTATAGAAATAAATATGTAGGGTTCATCTTTTATAAAAAAAAATAAAAATAAAAGTAAACATGTGGGACCCAAATGTTTATTTCTATGACATGAGAAAAGATGTCTTCAACAACATGAGATTAATAAGTTTCATTTATAAATGGTTTAAAAATACCAGTTCATCTTATTTTATGACAATTTGTGGGTTAGCAGATCAACTCATCTAAATAATAAAAAAAGTAAAAACAACTTGAACATTAAACAAAAAGTCAAAATCAAGGTTTCGAATTTTCTTCATCAAACAATGTCATCTAAAGTAGCAGAATTCAAAGAAAATAAAATTAAGTGCATAGTTGATATTCAAGTATGCACTTAACATAATGAAGCGATTTGTTTAGGTGGAGAACGATTGAGTGGATCGAAAGGGAGAGAGATCAATTAAGGAATTTAAGGTTTAATCATGAAAGGTGAAGAACATAAGGCTTTTGTTTATAAAAAAGTTTGAATGAATGGATAAAATTATGTACGTTACTATAGTGATGTCAATTCAAGCTGACATTTTCTCTTCTAACTAGCATATTGAGTAATTAGAGTTGGAAATACGGGGTCACTTCGTCTGACTCAACCCTGATCCGTATCTAACCCTACAAGAAAAGGCTGGTGGGTTTACTCATATTTGCAAATGGTTTGAAAATATCAATTTATTTCATTGTATGGCGGGTTGGTGGATCAATTCCCTTAAATAAATAAAAAACTTTAATATAAAACAAGGATTCAACCTCAAGGATCAAGATTTTCTTCATCAAACAATGTCATCTAAATTAGGAGAGTCACAAGAAAATAAAGGTATTCTACACATAAAAATGAAAGTTCTTGAATATAAATTATGCACTTAACATAATGAAACAATATGTATAGGTGAAGAATGATTGATTGAGTTGAGAGGGACATACATCAATTAGAGAATTTAAGGTCTGTTTGGAGCACATGATAAAGAAGATAAGATAGGATAACTTATCATATCCTACTTTTATCCCTTGTTTGGTGGGTCAATAGGATATGATTAGCTTATCCTATTGTCTCATTTTATCCTATCCAATACATGATTTCTTATCCTATGGGAGAAGTTGTGTTAGGATTCAACAGGATAGGATACCAATATTGGATATCCAATATATCCCACGCTACCCCATATATATCCACGCTACCCAATATATTTGTATTTATTGTATTATATTTTGCTTTTCTTTCTCCTTTCTCCTTCTACATACTCTTATCAGATTGTTAATCAGGTGCTCATCAAGCACAGGACATGATATCGGCTTATCAGCTCCATATCATGTCCTACTCTTATCAACCCCATATCATATCCTATCATTATCCTATCATGTCCACCAAACGAGCTCTTAGGGTTTACGCATGATAAGTGAAGAGCATAAGACCTAACTCACTTATGAATTTAAAAAAAAAAAAAACAATGTAACTTGATAGGTCAATCCGTCTCCCCTCGCGTCCAACCGATTTTAACCTATATTAAAGTGGGTTGAGTTATTGCGTATTAATAATTACAATCCATCCTCCCAAATTTAGCAATTTAAACAAACTAATCTATCAAGTGGAATCTGTTTTGTCAGCACTAAGTTTGGGCCAAAATGAGAGTCAATTCTTAGGAGGCTAAATATAATTTAGTTTGATCTGATAAATTATTGGCCCAATCTAATTCTATGCGTGCTAGATCAATTCAAGTTGATCCATTGATCGTTGTTTCCTTTAATTATTTATTAAATTCAAGCATAAAAAGGTTAATTTAAAATTTTATTTAATTCATTTATAATGAAAAATTTAAATTAAGTTACATTAAAATATTTAAAAATAATTATTACTTAAATATATAAATGTTTGTTTTAAAACAACATCTAAGTAAATTTATATAATAAAGTGAAACCTGATAATATACATACATACATACATACATATATATATATATATATATATATATATATATATATATATATATATATATATATATAACTTGATAATATATATGGACTTATCATTTCTCAAGCTGCTTGAGACAATCTTATCTCCGATAACTAAATTATAACCGTACAAAGATTGATCAATGGTGATAAAGGAAGAGAGAAAAAAGGGAATCATAATCATTCAAAGGTGAATCAATTAATATAAGGAAATAAATAAATAAAACGACGTAATTTTGGGGTAGCCGGAGATAAACTTATCTCAAGCTGCTTGAGAAATGTTTTTCCCAATATATATATATATATATATATATATATATATATATATGGGTTTGGTGTTTGTCATTTTAAATGACATAAGTTATGTCATTTTAAGAGAGAGATAGACACAAAAAATGGAAATCATGGAGAGAGAAAGTGGGTGGTTTTTTTTAATTTAAATTTTAAATAAAAAAATTTATTTTGTGTCTATCTCTCTCTTAAAATGACATAACTTGTTGGGTATATTAATAATATAATCCAATAGTATATTCACATATAAGCCCAATAGGTGAAAGCATGGTTATTTGGGTCCACATGGGCTAGAGCCCAATAGCTTGCATTATATCTAGGATTTCCTAAGCTGTAGGTAACACTGTTGAGCATTTCAAACTTGATGTCTCTTGGTGTAATACTTCAAGCACCTCTAAACCCTTCTTTCTCAACCTCATAACCTCCAACAATCTTGAAGTATTAACTTCGTGTATCAGATTTGAGCGAGTAAGGTGTCTATTCGAAGATCTCATCGAGTGGAACTCATATTTTAAATCACTTTCGCGATTGGACGGAAGGATTTACCGGGATCTGAGTTTGAAAAAAACTGGAGCGCAACTTTTCGGTCCAGATCTCGAAAATTTCGGCCATTTTCAGAAACTGAAACCTAATGGGCTTTGTTCTACTCGTCGATACGGTCGTTTTGAGTGGTCACTCGCCTTAAACGGAGATCGGACGAAAGAGATATGATCACACTTTTATGCGAAAAAGAATATTCCTGCGAAAAGGAATATTTCGAGGGAATATTCTGTTAGTTATGAAATATTATGCAGGGGACATTTTAAAAATCAGAAAATGTTCCGGTGAGTTTCTGGCAACAAGGGTAGTCCATCCTAAGATTTTTGGGCGCTCCGGATCTGTTTTTGGGGTCTGTTTTAGCAAATTCTATGTCTACAAAGCAATTTGATGAAAGTTGGAGCCTTTGCTTTAATTTGCGAAGTCTGAGAGAACTACAAGGTGCACTCTTTCTAACTCTTAGCTCTGATTAAAATGCCTAAATATAGTTCCTATGATATTATGAAATGAAATCATTTGATGTTATTGAATTTTATGGTTGGAAATTACATGTTCAATTTGGCATAGAAGAACATGAAATATTCCATAATGTATTAAATGATTTTGCATTTACCATTAAAAATTGTGGATTAATATCAATGGAACAAAGATGGATATTTTTGTAGGGATTACTTGTTAAATTCTCTAAATATTCATCTAGCTATGACTTGTAGTGAATATAAGACGATGAAAAAGATATGAAATCACTTGAATTCTTAGTTCCAAAACAAGAGTGGCTCTCCAAAGCTCTCGTAGCAGAGAAGTTCTTTGAATTCAAATTTAATACGAATTCAGTTAATTAAACTTGAGAACATAAAGAACAAGCTAAAAGATGATAAATCTGATATATCTGATAATCTTTTTTTGTCAATCTTGCATTGAGTAAACTACCTGCTGAATGGATTTCTTTCAAGACTGAAAGAACAAAATGAACTGGATAAATTAAAGAGGTTTATTTATATTTAGGATCAAAACTATTCTAGGAAGAGTTTGGAACAAATAGGACAATAAAAGTTAATTGCCTGCTTAGTTTCACATTCCAATAAACCTCAGAAGAAGTCCAAGTCACCAAAAGGTGAATCATCTTCATAGTTAGAGGCCAAAAAGACTATCTTCAAAAGAAGAAGAAGGACAAGTGCCATAACTGTAGAAAGTGGGATCATTGAGTAGCAGAGTGTAAGCTACCAAATAAGTTAAAGAATAACACACCACAAAATGAGGCTAATATATGTTAACTAATGAACCTGAGCCTCAAGCTTTCATTGGAATGATGAAGAATGGAAAGGCCAATGTCTCTTTTGAGTGGTGGTTGGAGAGCGGTGCTACCTGTCATACTACAAATGATAGGAATTTACTCACTAAGGTCATAGGAATGAAAGACACAATGGAAAATTGCAGTGGTGATAAGACGGATGTGACTCATATTGAAACTGTAAATTTGGTGCTTTCTTTAAGTAAATTACTAACTCTAAAACAAGTTAGAGTAGTACTTTTACTTAAAGAAAATTGATATCTTTGCTTGATAAATCTTGTATGCCTTTCTCAACAATGAATGATAGAGTAACTTTATTTGTTAACTCTTGTTATTTTGGTTGTGCATTCATGATTAATGGTATGTATAGATTGAGTTTAGATACTGTGGGCATAAACCGTGTGAGTTCAACTTTGATTGATCCAAAGTTATTACATAATAGACTTGGACATGTGAACTACAGGAAAATGCATCATCTAGCTAAAACTCTTGATACTCCATTAAATGCTTCTATTCGATTTGACAAATGTGAAGTATGTGCACAATCTAAGATCACTAGAAAACCTGTTAAGTCGGTTTTTAAAAGCACACAACTTCTTGATCTGATACATTCTGACCTTTGTCACTTTAGAAATTATATTACTAGAGGTGTTCAGATGTACTTAATATAGATGAATTTTTCTAGATATTGTCATGTTTCTTTATTGAAATCGAAAGATGAAATTTTTGAAAGGTTTGAGATTTTTTAATTCAATAGTAGAAAATCAACTCAACTTGAAAATTAAGAGGTTTAGGAGTGATAGAGGAGGAGAGTACACAATGACAGGGTTCAAGGAATTTTGCACTTCGGAGGGCATAATACTTGAAACCATTGCTCCTTACTCACCCCAATCAAATGGTGTTGCTGAGCGCAAGAATAAGACATTAACTGAAATGTTAAACTCTGTTATTTACAGCTGGCATGCCTTCCTCCTATTGGGGAGAAGCAGTTCTAACTGCCAATCACATCCTGAACAGGTTGCCACACTCTAAGTTGTCTATGACTCCTTATGAGATATAGCATAAGCGCTCTTGTAGATATGATACTCTTAAGACTTGGGGATGTATTGCTTATATAAGAATACAAGATCCTAAGAGACCTAAGGTGGGACCTAGAACCATTACTTGCGTATATCTAGGAAGTGCAGAAGACAGTGCTGCAAATAGATTTTTGGATCTATTTACAACTACGGTGATAGAATCCAGAGATGCATAATTCTTTGAAAATAAGTTTATCAAAGATCATGGCTTCAGTGTTTCTAGATCTACAGATATGATTTTAGAATCTCCTATAGAATCTGAAGCAAGTCTTTCTAACACTTACCCCACACAACTGGCTGTTGAATCAGTTCCAGTTAGAGTATCTACGAGAGAGAGAGTTCCCAAAGACTTTGGCGAGGACTTTGTCACTTACCATCTAGAGGATGATCCATTCTCCTATCAGTAAGCAATAAGATCTAGAGAATCTCTACTTTGGGCAGAAGCCATAAATGATGAAATGAGCTCTCTGCTGCATAATCATACTTGACAGCTAGTCAATTTGCCGAAATGGGATATGGCTAGAGGTTGTAAGTTGGTAGTGAAGAAGAAACTGAATAGTGATGGATCGATAGCCAAATACAAAGCACATTTAGTAGCTAAAGGCTATAGACAACAAAGTGAAGTAGACTATTTTGGTGTCGACTCACCTGTGTGTTATCTATCAACTATAAGAATTCTTCTTGCTTTGACATCTATTGAACACTATGTAGTACATGAAATGGATGTAAAGACAACTAGTGGATGACATGTTAATTCTTGGTTTTGATCATTCTGAGCTAATTTAGCTAAAGAATTTGACATGAGAGATCTTGGAAATACCATATGACGACTTCCTTGTGGTAGATACCTAAGAGAAACAGTCTAGAGAGGATCTTTCTTAGAAATACCATATGAGGTTTGGATAAAAAATGATATACCATGCTTATTTTAATACGTATGCATATGAGGTGAACTTAAGGGTGGAGTGATCCTTCAAGGACCCTTAGTTTACTGAGATTTTATTATCACCCTATTTGGGGATATGTTGCAGGTCCTGTTAAGAGTAAATACTAGCTTAAAGAGGAAAGGGGCACTTTTAGCCTCTTGGAGTAAATAGAGGCATATGTGTGTGTTGAATCGTAACACTTGTGTAGCCATTTTAATAGAACTTGCATTCGAAGTTAAAAGCTTATAAATATAGTATGTAAGATTCAAGTTCGTATGTATTAGTTTATAATTCAAGTGTTTGAGTAACATGTATATAAGAAGTTTAATGTATTTCAATTCTCTTGAGGTATTAGAATTATGAGATTATGTATAATGGCTAGATGTCAATCTTGATGAATTAACTAATGAAAAAATAAAGACAAGACATCATAAAGGATAGGGGAATACATAAGATTTAGTATGATGGCTAGATGCCAATAATTGTTATACCGATGGATGGGTTTTGTATGAAAAGTTTTTTGATAGCTAGATGTATGTATTTGTGTAAGAACATATGGTTAAGTTATAAGCACAAATCTTAAAGTAAAGCAACTTTCTTAATTATTTTGTTGCACTTAATACCATAATGTATAATACACCGGGTATACATACGGTGTTGCAGGGTTCAAGTTTGTACTCAAAAATAAATGAGAGATTATTGGATTGTGCTCTTGTCACTTAAAAGCTTTTTGAGCTTTAGTAGATGAGTTGAGCGCAAAAAATCTTAAGATAATGATTTATCCTTATATATACCCACTATAATCACTGAAGTTGTGATATGCTTTTGAAATAAAAGATGGGTTTTCGTTTTATCCTTTAACATAACACAACAAACTTTTCTATCCTCACAACATTTTGTTGGGCCCACACTTTTTAAAACAAAAAAATAAATAAAAAATTAAGGCACACAAAACGAATCTCTATAACATTACATAATCATTTTTCCTACAACATAACTCTTATAAAACCCATAAAAGATTAGTATCAATACACTTCTGTCTCCTTTCTTGAGTCATAGCTTGGATAATTTGTCCATACTATAGCTATTGCCTATGAGAAGATTCAACATTAAAGAAGAAAATTCCATACACTTACGCTATAAAAGGTAAATCCTTTGAACCACGATGCTTCCATACACTTGTGTTATAAAAGGTATATCCTTTGTATTGAGTAACCATGATAATTTGTTGATATCCCAACTCACAATGGTCATACACACTTCAAAATTCACATGATCAAGGGACGTTAGTAACAAAGGGGTCGTTAATAAAAAGAAAGATATTAAATTAAACATAAATTAAAAAAATATTTAAACCTAAATAATTAAATCATTATTATTATTGTAATATCGAAAACGGTGTCGCAGCTGAAGGTCCTTATCCCGTGAAGAACTTGTTTTAACTATTGAAGTCATGGTTACAATCTGCCGACTGGTAAGGAATCGCCAACCATGTCATGGCTAGCCAGATCAATCGCCAATTCACTCAGACTCGACGACGTCGAAGAAGAACAAGAAGAAGAAGAACACGTTCCTAACAACAACAACAATGACTTAAAATCCACACCCGAATCCAAATCGGATCCCGTTAAACCCGATCCACAATCACAATCATCGTCACCAACCACCGCACGTGGCGTCAAAGAGGATATCTCCGAGCTCACCAAGACCATATCGCGCCAATTCTGGGGCGTTGCCTCTTTCCTCGCCCCTCCCCCGGATCCCGAACCCGAACCCGACCCTTCGCGCCCACAAACTCAGATCTCGAATCCCGATGAAGCCCTTATTGCCGGAATCAGAAGCGATTTCGCTGAGATTAGCGGGAAATTCAAGAGCGGGATCTCGAAGCTTTCGGGTAATAAGGCGGTGTCTGAGATTACGAAGATCGCATCGAGTTTCCTTCAACTTGGATCTGAAGAGGAGCGTCCTCTCCACGAATACGAAGGCCTCGACGGCGTCGTTGGAATCACCGAGGAGGTGATGCAATTTGCAAGGAACATAGCTATGCATCCGGAGACTTGGCTCGATTTCCCTCTTCCTTATGATCCCGATTCTGATGGTAAATTTAGGGTTTCTTTCTCGGTCTTATTTTTCTTTCCTTATTAATTTGATGATTGATATTGTTACCTGTCGTGTGTGATTCTACAAGTTTCATTATATTGTGATTTTCTCCCTCTATTAAAATTGCAATATATGTTAATGTGCATTTTAGTTTTGTATTCTATATGATTTTTGCTGATATTGGTTCATCTTTGAATTTGTTTTTTTTTTTTCATTCTACAGATTTTGAATTGTCGGATGCCCAACAAGAACATGCTCTAGCTGTTGAACGTTTGGCTCCTAGGTTAGCTGCTCTAAGATTAGAACTTTGCCCTGGATATATGAGTGATGATTGCTTTTGGAAGATTTACTTTGTACTCCTACACCCTAGACTCAGCAAAAATGATGCTGATTTTTTATCAACCCCACAAGTGAGTTCAAATTCACTCGGAATTGATTTTCTTCTTACTTTTTTTTATGTATTTGTTTGATTTCTTCTTTCTTCTTTCTTCTTACTAAGTATGTGCTACGAATGACTGAAATGTAGACATTCAAGGTATTTTATTGCTTTTAGTCATCGCATTTGAATCTTGTAGGTTGGTATTCTTAAATTGTTTTAGAAACTGTGTCACTATGCTTAGATGGTCTGATCTAATTGTTCAAAACCTATTTATGTCTAATGTGATCCTTCTGCTTCACGACAGACGAGTCTCCAAGATGTTTGGAAATGAAAACTTGTCATCCTTGCGGCATGTGACTTTTGTCTAGCTTTTACTTTCGGTGTTGTTAATCAATCTTTTAGCCTGCATTACCACCAATTTATGCGATGTGTGCAGATAATGGAAGCAAGAGCAATGCTGACTCAGACGTTGGACAAAAGAAGTAAGGAAAAGAAAGAGCCAGACTTGTCTGCTAGCGCAAATGTTCAGTCAAAAGAGGCAGATCACCATTTGTCTGTGCCAAGCAGTGCTCAACATGGATCAGATACTCTGAAGACATCTGTTGTTGAAGCAGTCCCATCTATGGTTGTGCCTGATGTTGAAATGGAGAAACATACCGTCCAAAGTACTGAAATTCAGATTATTGACAAGTCTGTGGTTAAAGAAGCACCAGTAAATCCCACTGCAGAAGAATCATCATCCAGTTCTGCCAACAGAGTTTTGGATGATACGTATGAGGATGATGCGGATGATTGGTTGAAAGAGGATACTTCTGAAATGGTTGGTGGCAGTGGAACATCCTTTCCCACTGCTAATGAGGATGATGTATCTTTCAGTGATCTGGAGGAGGATGAAGGTGAGGTACCTGCTAGTTATAAAAAAGCTACATCAGGTTCTGATTCTTCAGCAAAAGACTCTCGAGATTGGGTTCAGTTAAGTAGAAGCTCAGCTAGCTCTGATAAGGATATAAACTCTGTAGAAAGCAAACATGCAGGTTCCGAGCATGCTAGTGCTCGTAATTCAGAAAACAAGGATTCTAATGACTGGCTTAATGTTGATGACATTGATGTAATGTGACGATGCTGCAGACCATGTCCAAGATGTAAGTGTTTTTACTATGATCCTCTTCTATTGTGTTAATATTTGCATATAGTATCTGTTGATTAACATCTGGAAACCGTATTTGTGTACATAAAGCCAGTTTCCGCTTGGCATTATGCAATGTGTGGTTATTAATGCTCTCAATTAATTAAACTCGTGTTTAAACAATACTGAATGAAGCCTTGCAAGAAATTATCTGTGCTGCGGTTATGAGATTTATTAATGGATTATGAGAACTGCACAGCCCACTTTAAAAAATGCTGGGATGCAGCAACTGAAATATATAAACAGGAGTAAGACATTTGTTCTAATACTAAGCCGGTAATCAATATAAATTTTCTTCTTATGTGATGCATAGTCTCCGGGCTATTTGTTGTATGAGATTGAGGTATCTATTTAGCCTGTATTTTCTCATAAAGGAAAAGTTAATTATTTAAGACCTTTCTTTAATTATTTACAGGCATTACAGAGCTGTTGTGCCTTTAGAACTCTAGACTTGTAATGTCTAATGTTTTATTAATAGGGCACGTCAATTGGTTTAAGTCGGATATTCGAGTTTCAGTAAATGAGAATGCATTCTTGAAATTTGCAGGCTGAGAAATCTGCAATTGGGATAGTTGTTGTAATTTTCATACCTTACGAGTTACGCCCCTCTATAATAATAATAATAATAATAATAATAATTATTATTATTAGTATTATTGTTGTTGGCATAAAACACAGCATACATGTATCATCACAATTCTTTGTTCAATTAAATATAGAAAAAAATATGTATTATTTTAAAGGATGTAAAGTTTTGTTATTTTAAGTGAGAAAAAAAGATAGATAAAGGCGGAGAGAGAGTGGATAAAAAAAATAAAAGTGTGGGTTTCATTTCTTTGTGAGAGTGAAATGATATAAGTTATTTAAAATGATAAACACTTTTTCCTTAAATATAACTTCTGACTATAGAGACATTGAATTGGATCGAAATATAAGAGTTAAACGAATTGTAAAAAAGTTACTTAAAATGCCAGTCTGCAAATATTATTGAGAGTCCGGGATTAAGGCTTTCAACTCCTTTTAAAGATGGTATCATCATTATCTTCATGTAATGATATCACCTATATTTACGGTTGATCTACAAATCTCATTTCTCTTTGAATGGTATGCGATTTTCAAAGGCGAAAATTATGGATAGTGCTCATGAGAAAAGGACTCTCTTAATCTCCTTATTCACTCCCCCTTTCCATATATACAGCTATTTACAATAAAGACATTTCTTGAAGTAATAACTGCTTTTCCCGAGATTAGAGCTTCTCAGGATTTAATGGGGCCGAAATTGCTGGAGAGGCGGTCGAGATGAGACCAAAGCATGCTTCCCAGAGAAAATCTTGGTCTAACTTCTGTCGTGCTCTTGGTTTCATGAATGGTTGTACTGGATGATGAGGATTGAGGGACCCTGTTGGGCGAATTGTGAACCGTAACAATTGACCCACCAGTTTCTTTTCTCAACAACTCCGCTATATTTGGGTTCACATCTTGACCCGATGAATCTGTAACATAAAATGATCCAACTGCTATCTCACCCTCTACTCCAATCTGAACCCTTGTTATGGATAGTCCATTCTCACGAATGACGCGTGTCACGTTCGACAGTAGCCCTATTCTGTTTTGAGTGCGAATGTCCACCCTTAATCCCTGGCACCAATTCAACAAGATCTAACTTTACTTCTTTCATTATCTTTTTTGGTTTGTCAAGAAAAATAGTGATCACGAACAAATGTTATGCAAAACAAACGAAAACCTTCATGCTGGGTCTCATGGGACATACATGCGACACTCGGCGTTCTATAGCAGCGATTAAACATAGGGTGAGCTTTTGCCTCTCGCTTTCGTTGTCCATATTTGAACTACCCTTGGGCCTTACGAAGTATTCCTGTGTAACACGTGCATTAACATTAAATGTGACCACAACGTGGTATATATACTCAAACGCATATTATAAAGGGTTTAGTGTAAAAGTACATAAGTTGTGTTTTTTTTAGTAATTTACACATCGTACGACTGGTTGTACTCTATGTTATTCTAAAATGTTATTTTTTTTTCACTTTACACGTCAGCGATGTGACTGAGGTGAGAACCGGCACTTTATGTAAAACACTTAAAATGACACAACGTGTCAATCAAAATGATACCGTTTTTTTTCCTATTATAAATGATGACGATAATGTAAAAGTTTCTAGTACCTGGTCAGCGATGGAGCTCGTGGAGCTAACAGCCGCGTGAAAAACCTCGTACTGCAAGTCCGTGAGCACGCACACGGTATCAAACAGCAGCTTAGGACGGTCCCTACTCCTTACGTTCACCACCCAGTACCCCTTCTCCTCGTATCTACTCACGGAGACGTGGGTCCCATCACACCCCTTCTTGTGCTCGCCGCTTCTGTCCCCGTGGCAGGCACGGCAACTCTCGTAGTCCCCATCGGCGTACATCAGCTGGTGGAGTCGCCGTTCGGTATGGTGACGCCCGGCGGCGAAGCTCGTCAACCTCACGCTCCTCTTCTCTTTCTCCCCACTGCCGTCATGGGCCTCAACAACGTTCTGGATCTGATCCTGGACCTTGGCCAAATGTTCGTTGTAGTCGATGGGCCCAGGTTTGGATGCTTCCTCTAGATAGATAATGCAGGCCACTCTATCATTGTGGGTCCAGCCCGTTGCGGATGTGACGTTGAAGCCCAAGCTCACTAGCACCGCTGATATCTCTGAGAACAGGCCCGGTCGGTCCGTCCCTGTCACCTCTATGGCTACATTTGCCGCGGACACTGACACTTCTTGTTGTGGTCTTCTAGTCTCGCACAGAGCCTGCAAAATATCTAAAATTCTTTTTTATATTTATGTTTCAGGTCTTAATTATTTATATACAATTCAATTACTTATGTAAGTTAGATAGGTAGATAGATGACAAGAAGATGGGAGTGGCAGAGAGACCTGCTGAATGTAATGCACGAGGTTTTTATCAGTGAGCTTCTTGCCAACCTGATCCGTCACGTGGAAAACTGCCATGAAGGAGAAAGGTAAATAAAAGCAATCTTATAAATCCAGATTATACAAAAACATACATTTTGACATTTTTTTTTTTTTTCCTATAAGTTTATTTTTCTAAATTAAAATAAGTGTAAAACAAATATAAAGATGGTGGCATGTAAATAATAAAGACGTTGTTTTATTGAGGGAGAGATACTGACCATCCATTAACCATCCACCATCAGAAGAAATGTATGATTTGGAAATGACGAGGTCAAGATCTGTCAACACCTGCACCATCTCCAATAATATCCCATGCTTGTTCGCACTATCAATCTGTTTGTGAATACCGAAAAAATTATTAAAATTAGTATTGTTGAAATGAAATTGTAAATAAAGTCAAGAGGCTTTTACTTCTGGTGCATTGAGTAATTGTTTTTGAACTCTTTACTATCTACGATTTTGTTTGGTTTCTAGCAAAACTAATGATTGTTTGTTAAACCCACGAATCTTTTCATACCGGATTACCACAATTTTTACAGACTACCTGCCAAAATTGGTTTATTTACTTTTGCAGATGAACATGATTAAATTAAGTTCTAGCTACAATTAATTACGTGCGAAAGCCATTTTATGACTTATATGTAGGATTACTCTATTTTGTTAACAATGCATATGCTAACTAGTAATAGCGGAGAGAGCAAGCACAATTAGATACCATAATTTTATTGGCTTTTGGTTGCAGGTGTTATAATAACAACTTGAGTAGTTAAGCTCTTAATTTCTATGTGCATTCTATTATTATTACTTTTGTGTATAAGCTCAAGTTGGAAAATCTCCACTAGGATATTTATCTATTTAACGTGTACTTGGTTCTTCCAAATCCTATAAACAACCACTGGAGCTGTTTACAAAATCTGTGGGCGAAAGCCTTGTGTAATGGTGGACACCACACAATCAAGTTTTTTTTTTTTTTTTTTGAACAAATTAACTAATACAAACTACCTAAATCCCACACCACTAGACCAAAGCTAATGGCTTACCATACAGTCAAGTTTAACTATAATGAATAGGACCCAATACGTAGGATTGATATGTGATTAAATATAAACAACTTAGAAAGTAGCTAGAAAATTGCATCTAACCTTAACCACCGTGCAGTCTTTGCAAGAATCGTTGTCTATACATACCCTGCACATATAGATCAAGAGACAGTTAAATAAGAACATGAATTCATTCGTGATGTTTCATTTTTCTTTCAGTAGGAAACAAGAAGACGATGAGATTTTCACACAACGAAAATAACAAAAGTACCTGGGTGGATGTATTCTTTCTATGAGCGATTCAATCTCTCTGTCGATGTGAGGCTGGTAAATTATCTCCATCTCACTCTATGAACAAGACTTCAATTCGAGTTTAGTTAGATGTTGTTCGACAATTTATCGTGGACTAGTGCATGTACCTATAGAGATTCCCAGGCTGTATAGTTTAGAAAATGTTCAAAACGCATGGGAGAAAAAAAGAAAACGCGTACATATAAAAACAGCTTAAGGAAACGTGGCGATAATGGAGCGCTGTCTTTCTTGTTTTCTAAGTGATGATGACACAGAAACCCAAAAAAGAAGAAAATAATTGGTAATCATAACGATTTTGAACTTTGTCGTCTTAATTAGAAATTCCCTTTGACTTGGAAAACCAACTATTTTTTCAGACACTGGACAGAGATATTGTACGGTATTAGAGGAAAAATAGTTCGAAAGAAAGCACCTGAAGCTTGCAATCTCAAGATTCAAATTACCTTTGAAAATGGTTATTAAATATGAAAGGGTATATAGAATAGTGCGGTCCACCTGTTGATAAAGGTGCAGGGTCCACGGTCACAGCAGATGTAAAATCCAAGGTCACGGACTAGAAGTTTCCATTGGAGAAAAACATTGGACAGAGAGGGTAGGAGTTTTGAGACAGGTACGAAGAGGGTGCCAAATCTTGATGTTCTAAATTTGGTATTGTGTTACGTGTAATTTCAGAAATAGATGTGTGCACATACGCATATTTAGTAGTATGTAGCCGAAACATATGGGGTGAATGGAGCATGTATGACCTACTCACGCGCAACAAAACATGCGCAAGAAAAATTCTAGACAGCTTTGGCATTATTGATAGTTATTATATTAGAGATAACTACTCCTATCATTTTAACTCATTCAATAACTATCTACAAAATTTTGAAAATTCTAATCTAATTCTTGCAAAAAATTTATCACCTGTTGTTTTTGGCTTTCAACGAATTGTGGGACTTGGCAGAATTTCTAAAATGTAAGACGGAAAGGGCGAGAATCTGTGTTTGCGGGTTTTTAATCTAGTAAGACAGAGACCTGAGACCTAACTTTACCATTGTGCCACGTGGCACTTGTTATGAACGTGGCGATCCTGGTAAGTTGCAAAAATGCAGACGAATTTGAGGTGGCTAAGTCTCTCCCTCGGAGCGATAGACACGAATTGGTGTAAAGATGTGGGTTGGGAATCCGTTGTGGGATAATGTCACGCAGTGTCTGTAGCTTTCTCTGAGTGTAGTGTGTGGAGGCCCTTTCCTTTGACTCTTTTACCCAGTCAGTGACTCGACCACACACCATAAACCCACCTTTTACTTCGGATGGAGACCGCAATCCTAGGAAGCGTATTGGTTGCTCTTTAGATAGATAATATATAGCCATAGAAATTAAAAGGATAAATTATTAAAGCAACAAAATTTAAATAAAAATAAAAGCTAACCTTTTAGAGAGAGAAGTCACTTAGAGAGAGAGAGAGGGGGAGTGAGATAGAGAGTGGGAGGAGATGGTGGGGAGGGTTGGGGGAAGGAGGGAGAATTAGAAGAGAATGAGATGATTTATAAAGAAGGGGGAGAATTAGAGGATATGAGAAAAAATACTTAGAAGAAAGAGAGTAAATCCTTATTGTTATCTGTGAACTATTTATTTATAATCACTTACATTTACTAATCGATTAATTTGAATTTTAAATGGTAGTAGCTACAGAATACAGTGATGTAATTCCTTGAACTTGTTGATGGTAATTATCAATAGTCTGTGATCACTCCGTTTGGGCGAGAGGAGATAAATATATTGATCAAGGGTAAGGTTAAGATGTATACTAAGTGTTTGAACTTTAGTCATAGAAAAAGAATTGGTTGTGTCAAGGTAAGTAGGAAAAATCATGAGAATTTTATTGGAGATAATTGTAAAAAAAAAAATTCAAAATAATGATAGTTGTTCCTATTATCATGGAGTTGATAGGCTAACATACGCGCACACACTGATTTTTTTTAAATGTAAGTGTCGGACATCGACACGCTCCGACACGTTCCGACACGCGGTTAATATATTTGGACACATGGTTAACTCTTCGACACGCTCTGACACGTTTTTTTTGACACGTGGTCAACTTTTCACACGCTTTGACATGGTTTTTTGACACGCAGTCAATTTTTTTCGACAGGTGGTCAATGTTCCGACACTTTTTTTTTAGTCTTAATTTTTTTTATCAACTAAAAATAAAAAAAAAAATTCATTTATAAATCAATTTTTCTCTGTTATGAAATTTGACATAAAAATTAACAAGGTACGAAAAATTAATTTTTTTATATTTATGTTATAAAATTTGAATATTTGATTGGTTATATGACTTATTATAGACTGTAATATGTATTAAATATAAATTATATTATATATATTAAAAACATTATTTAATATCAAAATGTGTCCTAACGTGTCGAAATATGCTATTTTTTAGAATTAATGTGTTACGTATCATATCATACAGTGTCCCGTGTTCCGTGTCAGTATCCGTGCAGTTTTGATGCTAATTTAAATTTTGTCTTCGAAATTGAAGATATTTCCTCAAGTGATTGCACATAAAGTCAATGAACTGGACCCAAAAGAATTGGATCAAATGTGAACCTAATATGAGGGTCAGAAGACTCAGAACAGTTGCATAATTCCCGAGATACCAATGTCAATATGACAAGATCATGATACAATCAGCATTTGTTTTTGGACAAAAGCCTAGAGACCATACTGAACCAAATGGGCTTCACAACTAAACACAGGGATATGTCTTCACGTGGGCCTGTTGGGTTGGACAAAGTCCATCAAAAAACAGAATAAAAAATCATGTAACCCACTAACGGTCTGATAAGGAAGAGGAAGAAATACAAGAAACTTAACGGTAAGTTCAAGTGACACATATTTAATTTTTATTAAACAAAATTTATGCTCCCGACTCGAATATGATTAGCTTATGATTTATCAAAAAACAGAAATACAAGAAATTCATAAACAAATGTCCTAAATAAATAATCTTAGTTAACATTCCTATCCACATATTAAGAAAAAAAATCTTTGCATAAACCTAGTAAAGTTAAGCTGAATATATTAAATCAATCATATGGTTACTTAATGAAATGGTTATTATAGTTCATTAATGATATAATTGGTCTAATCAGTGTTTTAAAATCCGGCTGGGTCGACCCGGGACTCGGTGACCCGATGGGTTTTCCGGTCCGAGCGGGTAGTTGGACCGCTTCTGCAGTCAACTCGGCCGAAACCCAACGACCCGGGTTAGACTGGTTATTCTTTTTTTTTTTTTTTGGTAAATTTTTTGTTGTTGTTGATAAGAACTCTTGAATTAAATCATATTCATATTTTATGATGAATATGATTAAAAGTAAGGTGAAAATAATAAGGTATTTTAGAATAGTGCAGTTCGTTTATGTAATTTAGTTGCATCTTATAATGATCTCATGAAGTTAAGTGGTGATAAACACTGATGGTCTCATGATCTCATCTTAACGGGGGACACTTTTTTTTAGTGTATATTTCATGCATACTATTTGTTATCATGATAACGGTGACACTTTTTTCTTAGTGTATATGTCATGCATACTATTTGTTATCATGATTTAATTTATGTAAAGTACAAAAGGTGCATTTAACTTATATTGCAATTTTAATCTAATATTAGGATATGGTCTAGAGCTAGAAGCTTAGAAGTATATAATATTTGCTATCATTGAAAATCAATTTATTTTTTGAAGCTTATTGATAGTTTTCTTATTTGAATTTTTATTAATATAAGTAATATTTTTATATTTTTAATATGTGAACAGTAAATCCAGTTCAACTTGATTGAACCAGTGACTCAGTACCTCGGCCGGTTCGATGACTGGTTCGAGTTTTAAAACACTGGGTCTAATACCCCAGGACCGATATTGTTGGCTATTGCTTTCTACAAGAGAGTTTGAAATCAACAGGTGTTAAGAACCTTGAGGTCACCACCCCAAAAGCTAGCTCAAGGGGTAGGAGTGCCCAAGGCCTTATAAAGGCCATATTAGTTGTCCATCTAATCAATATGAGACTATATATCTCAACACGCCCCCTCACGCAAGAGCCCTTTAGGCTAGAAGCGTGGAAATTGCACAGGCCCATTTTTGGTTTACCTTTTTGTGCTTTTTTATTTTTATTTTAATTCCACTTTTTTAAAGCGGGGGGACGGTGAGGCTCTGATACCATGTTAAGAACCTTGAGGTCACCACCCCAAAAGCTAGCTCAAGGGGTAGGAGTGTCCAAGGCCTTATAAAGGCCATATTAGTTGTCCATCTAATCAATATGGGACTATATATCTCAACAACAGGCAAACTAATTTGCCTTGGCAATTCCATACACGAGACGCCACTGTTTCTGCATGTATTCTGCAACGGCATTTTCAGATTTTGACGTCATAAAACTAAAAAAACTAGTCCCTCCAGGTCTCTATCTCCTATTAAATTTGTTTGTGTTGCGTGTCCCAGCAAAAGAAACTATCCATTCATCAGAGTGAATCAAGCTAGTCGAGAAAAAAAGAAGAGATTAAAATTGGTGATTTCCACTGATGGAACTGAAAAATTGATTTATTATGCCCACAAAAGTAACAAGTGGATCTTCGAAATGGCTGGTGTGGGGTTTGCTTGGTACGGTGCTTAAAAGGGTTTATCATGTACCTTCTATAGTAAGAAACATCATCAATTGAATCAAAATTTCTGATGAAGAAAAAGAGAGTGGGTGGATCAGCAATAAACAAGGTTTAATCCAAATTGGCAGGAGGGAGGGTGACATTTGAGACAGTTCAATTGTTCGTGGGGTTTATTCTGTAGACTTTTTGTGCTTGTGTCAAAAGATGTGCTAATATTGCTCATGAGACAGTTGTTGAGATTGTGAGTTATTTGACAGCAATAATTCTCCACTATTGTGACAGTACGTCTCTCTTTGTTCCTGTTTAAGTACTTGAAAATAGTTCCATTCACCAACATGCAGAATGTGATTTGACATGTGTACCACATTATATCTCTTTCACGGTGGTGCTTCTTTGACATGCAGCTACATCATGATTTCTTTATGTAATATACCTGGTTAAG